TGCTCATCAACTCGCAGAATACCCCAGAATTGGTGGTTGGGGTATTCTGGGAGCTGTAGTCCACCCAGCTTTCCCAAAAAAAAAAAAAGACAACTCAGGTTGGGATCCACCATCCAGCAAAGCTCCAGTCTGCAGTGGTTCCCCCAACTTCAGCTGATTAGATGTCCTCAACAGAGCAATCCAAGGGCTCATATTTGATAACCATTAAGCAGGCTTAATGAAATAATTATAAGCCAGGCGCCCGAGTCCCAAGCAATCAATAGCCATGAGCTCCAAACCGGCCGGGCACCCCTGGTTTTGCCGTTTGCACTGCGGGCTACAAGGCCAGGCCCTCGGCCTCCAAATGCAATTGATGCTAAAGTTGCATTAAAACACTCCCATTGAGGGCCAGCGTAATTAATGGCGAGCAGGACACCAGAGTTTGCCAGTCGATATTCTTTATTGGCTCCATCAATCCTTCCTGGGCTGTCTCCCTCCCTCCCTCCCTTTTCCTTCCTTCCTTCCAGCTCCCCTTCTCTCCTTTTGCACACTATTAGCACAAGTCAATTTACTGTCAATGGGCAACCCGAGTCAAAGTGACATTAATGCACGCTCACAAAAGGCCGGCACGTGATCTGCTCACTTCACTCGCTTTCAAAATTACACGCCGCGGCCAACTCCGGAAGCTTTGTGACTTGTTAGCCCAAGCTGCGATTTTTTTTCCCCCTCCCGAGCTTCATATTTCATGTTTAAAGATTTCATCGGATGGCTGATGACAGAAATAAACTGCCCGCCCGTAGGGAAATCACTCCGAATAATAGAATTAGCAATTGTTGGGAAATCAATCCAAAGCAAGTTGACACCAGAAAAACACAGAGTGGTGTTTTTTTTTTAAAACAAATTATTATTATTTTCTCCCCATCCCCTTCGCAGGCCCTCTCTTTATGGGCGAATTAAAGGGCTGCTTTTTAATAAATCAAAGTAAAGGGCAGGAATTAGAAATCACCTTTTTTTTTTGCTGCGATCTGATTAGAATAGAATAAGAATGAATAGAATAGAATAAGAATGGATAGAATAGAATAAGAATGAATAGAATAGAATAAGAATGAATAGAATAAGAATGAATGAATATAAAATAGAATAGAAGAGAAACTGGAATGTAGAAGAGAACAGAAGAGAATAGGATAGGATAGAAATTGGAATATAAGAATAGAATAGAAATTGTAATGTAGAATAGGATAGGATAGGATAGAAATTGGAATGTAGAACAGAACAGAAGGGGATAGGATAGGATAGAAATTGGAATATAAAATAGAATAGAATAGAAATTGTAATGTAGNTGACCGCCTCCTGCAACATACCTCCCAGCGCCCAATAAGATCCCACAGGGTGGGCCTTCTCCGGGTACCGTCGACCACACAATGTCGTCTGGTGGTTCCTCGGTGTAGGGCCTTCTCTGTAGCTGCCCCGGCCCTTTGGAACGATCTACCCCCTGAGATCCGGACCCTTCCCACTCTCTCAGCCTTCCAAAAGTCTGTTAAGACCTGGCTGTTCCGGCAGGCCTGAGGCTGATGATCTTTGATTGGACTTCAGCCCCATTATAATTGAGAGTATGTTGTGTCTCTTTTAATCTGTCTCTGTTTAGTATTTTTAAACCTTTTTAAAAAATATTTTTAACTGTTTTATGTAAGCCGCCTAGAGTCCTTCTGGATTGGGCGGCATACAAATCTATTAAAATTACAAATTACAATTACTATGTGTTTGAGCTGAGTGGTCAGGAGGTGGGGCTGGGGGTGATGTTGAGTTGGCCATGCCCACCAGTCACATAGCCACCCAGCCACGCCTACCCAGCAAGGCATTAGGGCAGAGAACTAGTTGTTAAATTATTTGACTCCCACCCCTGACCATGAATAAGTAAAATTGATACATGAAGGCTTGGGGATTTGAACATACTGCTTTTGTGACATAAGTCACAAGATTTCAAAATAGAGCAAGAAACTAGAATCAGCAATGGAGTAAAGAATCCAGAACAAACAGGATTCTTTACTATTGAACTATAGCTTATTAATGAATTAGTCTAGATATACATCACTTCACTATTGATTGCCTCTCTTAAACTGTGACTGTATGGGTCATCTCTTCTTGGCAGGGAAAGACATCAAAGAATCTTAACATGTATGCTCATTCATGAAGAAAACAATCCATTTCTCATCAGCTTTGCTAAAATTAAGTCAGAGTGAAGATTACAATGATTACATATTCTTTGATAAAGAATGCATTGATTCATATGTTTGAATACACTGAAATAAATAATATGGAGATGTTTTAACTTTAAAGAACAAAAGGTTTTTTTTTGTTTATGAACCGAACCAATATAGAGAATGATGTTCCAGCCTTCTATACAATATGCTGTTTTAATTCCCATTTTCACAGAGGAAGCAAATAGTACTTAAAATCTAATTTCTTTGGCAATTTCCTTACATATGATGGTTTTAAAATAAGTTAGTATAGTTTTTACGGTGCACAAAGGGAACTTGAATCAAAAGCACTGTCATAAGCTAAAAAGAAAAGAAAAAAATAAATTTGAGATGGGAGTAGCTGCTGCTTTTGTGTTAGTTTTCTTAACTAGAACATTTTAAAATTATTACAGTTTTCTACATTACAAACTCTAATAAGACAATGAAAATCTGAACAGTGAAACAAATCATTTCTCCAATAAATAGCCCCATTTATCACAATATTAGGATGCTACAGAAAAACTCCTGATGGATTCATTCTGATCTATTATCATAGTTTCTTCTTTATCACTTTGTTTTATTACCTTCAGTATTTAAGTTATATAGTCTACACAGACAAAATAATCTAATTGTGATCAGAGCCACAGTCTGCTCTGTGGCTCTGAGGCTAATTCATATAAAAATGTTGGATTGTGCTTCCTATCAGAGGAGTCATAAGTTTCAGCAGAAAACCATGCCCATTTTTGACAGGGTTTTTCAAACTTGCAATACTAAAATTGCCTGGACAGCATCTGGAAGTTAAAATCTACACACCTTAAAAGTTGCTACCCCCAGTCCATCAGTATCTGACGGGAATGGGGGTAGTCCTGTGGGCTCTCATCTGCTCTCCATTTGGGCCACTACGAGCTTCCAGCATCAGACATCTGATTCTTAAAACCACCTTTCTCATAGCCATCACCTTTGCCAGGAGGATTTCAGAGTTGGTGGCACTATCAGTCAGGAAGGACTTATGCATCATCCACCCTGACAGGGTCATCCTCCTTTTGGAACCTTCCTTTATTTCTAAAATCAACTCCTGGTTTCACAGGTCCCAGGAGGTCATCCTACCAGATTTTTGTCCAAAACCCAGACATCCCAGGGAGTGGTCCTGGCACATGCTCGACATTCGGAAAGCTCTGTGCAGATATACTAAACATTCAGGAATTCTGAGTTGCTCTTCATCTCCTTTCAGTAGGTATTTATGGGTCGTAAAGTCACCCCCTCAACCATTGAACCCTGGTTGTGTGCTTGCATCTCCTTGGCCTATGAACAACAATCCAGGCCAGTCCCAAGATACATCACAGCTCACTCCACTAGGAGTGCATTGGCGACTCAAGTGTCCATAGAGGAGATTTGCAGAGCGGCAACCTGGGCATCACCTACTCCCTTTGTAAAAAACTATAAACTGGACAAGTTTGGCTTGGTAGAGGTGGCATTTGGGAGACAAGGTCAGGTTATTCATTCTAGTGGAGAGACTCTTGATGCTCGTGCTTCCCACCCTAGTGACATTTAGCTTGGGTATGTCTCATGTTTGGACTCTCCAAGCAGCACATAGAAGAAGCAACATTGACTTACCTGAATGGTCTTCTCTGTGCGCTGCGGGAGAGTTCAATCCTGCCCTGGGGTCTCTCACTATCTTGAAACACCTTCTGGACGTGCTGAATGACATCATGGTTGAAATACCTTCCAGACGTACACGACAGAACCACTGTTGTACAACATGACAAGACCATGTCTTTATTGAAAAAAACTGAATCCAATATGGAACCAGAGGTGTGGCTAAAGATTGCCAATTCAGTCCTGGGCAGATGAGCAGAATTTAACCCATGCTTGGACTTTCTTGGACCACTCAGATAAGCCAACATTCCTTCTATTTTTGAAAATGGTTTACATCTTTGTGCTAGGCTGTAAACTGTATTAAATACTCTACAAATAGGGCCTACATATTTTTAGTGATTATATCTATTATTTTCATTATTATATCCTGTTGACATTGTTTTAAGTTCTCTTTACAAATGTTATGAGCTTTTGATGAAAAATGTTCTTTCACTTTTTTTCTTAGAGAAGCTTGTTGTATCTCTTTATTTTTTCCTGATGCCTCAATCTGAAAATATTTCCATTCTTTTGACACATGAACCCTTTTTTTATTTTGTGGAGTCATATTTTACACAATATTCACAATCTAACTTTTTGTTAGAAATTACCAGTCTTTCATATTTTTCTTTAAAGTTGTTATATTGTTGCACTGTCCAGCAGTCAGGAAGATTATTTTCAATTTTGGAGTTATTAGCTCAATAATTGATGTGCTGCTTTCTCCAGGTTAGGGTGATTGTGCTTGTGACTGTTTTGGATCATCCAAGGCCAATTCTGATACAATTTATTCCGATCTTAGTTTCTTACTGAAAAAGCTGTCAAACTCTGTTGCCTTTTCATCCTGTTAAGGGCTGCTGCAAAAAAATTAAAACATTTTTGAGTTTGGATTCGATTTAGTTTGGAGCAGATTTTCCCATGGGCAATGAAACGGGGTGGGAGGGCTGGTCACACCATACCTGTACATGTGACACAAAGCACTTACCAAAAATTAGGTGAGCAGCGAAGGCTGGCGAGCAAGGAAAGCAGACGAGGGAGCCAGAGAGCAGCTGGGCAAGTCTAGGCGAGTGAGAAAAGCAGGCAAGGAGCGGAGATCAGTGATATTTAGTTACTTTTAAGAGTGTCTGATATTATAGATAGTGTTTAAAAGATGTTATGGAAGAGGAACAAGTTTCACCAGACAAGACCGAGACTGAGCTCAAAGTGGATTTTAAAATGACACCCTATAAGAATGGCATGCAAAAGATGTTACACAGTATATATAAAAGAATGGCTGATATTTTCATATGTTCAGTTAATTAATAATTGAAAAATAAACACCTAAAATGGAAATACAATTACCAAACCAAGGAAGTTGTTATTTTGTCCCAGTATTGGCACAAAACTCTTTCCTAGCTAAGACTACATTACATTAGCCCAGGTCTTACCTGGACCAACAGTCTCTAATGGAATGCTCTCTCTATAGCAGGGAGAGAGAAGACAGGGAAAACCATGTTTAGTCATCCAAGCTTTTTAGACTTTTCATCTTAAAAATGTACTGAAGCTTTTTACAGCCTTGAATTCCTGCCAGGCGGCACTGTTCATTTTATTTCAGCAGCTGCTTGTTTTCCTAGGATTCACATTATTTTATCTTTATGAATGCATGCTTTAGCAGTTGCTTTGCAACTAGAATGACCTCACTAGTGTAGTAAATTTTTAAAAATGAGGGGGATTCGGGTCCAACAAAATGGGGACAAACAAAAAAGATATAATCCAAAATCATCTAAGAAGTTAGATCAAGAAGAATGAAATTCATAGGTACATTCACAGAACAATACTGAATTATGTTTCTGAAATGTATTCCTAAGTTTAAAAAATGGAATATATGAGTAAGGTTCAGTACTGGCTGAGCTTATATTCAAGCCAAATAGCATATTTTCTGAAAAACAAGTAACAATTCCATAGGATGGCTTTATTCATTCCTTTTCTTTTCAGATGAAGGAACAGATCATGCAGAGGAAAGAACCCCAATCAACTGAGCCCATTACAAGACCAAACTTTATAAGGATTGAATACAAACTTAAGACAGATTTTTAAAATAGAGATGGATATCAGCAAAAAAAGGAGTAGAGGTTAAGCAAACTTTTAAAAAGATCATTTATAAAAGGTACCTATGCCAACAAGATAAGTTTATAAGTAGGTCAGAGAAGGTGAAGGAAGGTAGGTGAGGCAGAAAGGTAGGTCAGGGACTCGGGGAGGTAGCTGGGCAAGGAGCTGAGTCTGCGGGAGATCGGGGAAGACACAGGCAACCAGTTTAGGCAGTGGAAATGTAGGCTGGGGTGCGGGGCAGGCAGCTGAGCAAGGAGTGGAGATCAGGGAAGGCAGCAGTGGTGGGTTGCAGGCAGTACACCCCGGTGCCTGCCCGGACCACCATGTACTGACCCACCCGCCAGCCCGTCGTCCTTCTCTGTCTTTAAACTCTTTGGCGCTTCCATGCATGGTATGTACAGCACCTGCGTGATGCTCCTCCGGGTAGCTGGAGCATCACGGAGGCTCAGGGAGGCATCACTGGAGGATAGGATGCCTGCGCACGCGAAAGTGATGCCCACTACCTGAATGAGGCAGATGGAGAATGAAAGGAGATCGCGTCAGGCGGGGGGGAGCATTGGTCCCATTATTGCTGGAGCTGCTTTTGTTGACTCCAGCATGGTGGTGGGACTCTTGCCATCAGTTTAGTGGCCCGCCTTCTTTGCTAGTTCAGGTGGGTGGAGAAAGGAGGCATGCAATAGTCAAGGGCGAAGGTGCTCCTTTTCACCCTTGGTGGCAGAGGTGTTTTATCACAAGCCTCCTTTCTTCCTCTGCCCACCTGAGCAAAGAAGGTGGGCCAGTAAACCGATGGCAAGAGTCCCACTGCCATGCTGGAGTCAGCAAAAGCAGCTCCAGCAACAACGGGACCAATAGGGGTGGGAAATCCATGCAGAGGGAGGAAAACGCATGCATTCCCCACCCCCTCCATTGGAAACAAGGCAACTGTCAGAAGAGCACAGTGCACACCACGTGGGCTTGTGCAGCAGTCGAAGAACAGGAGGTGAGGTGACCACAGTATGTGTGTGTCTGTGTGTGTGTAAGTGAGTGAGTGAGTGAGTGAGTGAAAGAGAGAGGCAGACAGAGAGAGGCACAGAGAGACAGGGATGGGGGAGGGAGGAGAGGCAGAGAGACACACAAAGAGACAGAGAAAGAGGAAGGGAGGGGAGAGACAGAGAGATACACAGAGAGAATTACAGAGAGACAGAGGAAAGAAGGGAGGAGAGAGAGACAGAGAGACACACAGAGAGAATTACAGAGAAAGACAGAGAGGGAGGAAAGGAGAGACAAAGGGCCACAGAGAGAGAGAGAGAGAGACAGACATAGAGAGAGAGAGTCAGAAAAAGAGAGAAAGAGAAAGAAAGGAAGAATTGGTGGCTGTTTTGTTTTTTCTTTTCTTTTTTTCTTTTTAAAAGAAAGGCACTCTTTTCACTTAGAGCCAGGAGCCTACTCTTAAACTTCCCAGACAAAATTTCATTTATTTGTAATTAGAAATAAATATTTCACAATATATAATTACATATTATTTTTGTGATTAATCACTATGCTTTAATTATGTTCAATTTATAACAATAAAAATACATCCTGCATATCAGATATTTATATTATGATTCATAACAGTAGCAAAATTACAGTTACATAGTAGCAACGAAAATAATATGTAATTATATATTGTGAAATATTTATTTCTAATTACAAATAAATGAAATTTTGTCTGGGAAGTTTAAGAGTAGGCTCCCGGCTCTAAGTGGAAAGAGTGCCTTTCTTTTAAAAAGAAAAAAAAAGGAAAGAAAAAACAAAACGGCCAGCAATTCATTCATTCATTCATTCATTCATTCATTCATTCATTCATTCTTTCTTTCTTTCTTTCTTTCTT